CCCCCCCCCCCCCCCCCCCCCTAAGTGTGTAAATGCACACACATTCAAGAAAAGAAAAGAAAAAACAAAGGAAAGGGAAGAGAGCGTGAGAAGAGAGAATTGAGGACAAAAATTAGTTAATTACTCTTATTTAAAGGAGTCTAAGTTTTAACTTCTACTTGAGAATATAACATAACTTTTACTCCTAGTTTGGTCTTTCTCCCAGAAGTAAATGACTACCTATAATTCTGTATATTTATAACCGAGTTCAAACTTTGGAAGGAAATTAATTAAGGGTAATTTACTAAAATATAATAAATTTTCCAAGACTGTTAATTAATTGCTCTTCTTGGTCAGGGAGAGGGAAAGATTCCAGAACTTGAGATTCTTCTTCTCGTCGTCGGCGGCGGCCAATCGGCGGGCGACGAGCTGTTCATATCTGAGGAACAGAGGGTCGACTACGGACTCTCCGAAATGGGCGGCCACCATCGGCTCCATCACGGCCCTGATCGTCTTCGTCAAGAATTTCGCCGCCGGCGACCCATTACTGCCGTCGTCTTCCTCCGCAACGGCAGCACCGGTAATATTATCCCAATTCATCTCCGTGACTTCCAACCGATCAAGTGTGAGGGACCCCTCCTTTTCTATTATCTCCTTCATTTCGTCCTTGTGCGGCGAGTAAGAAGGCACGTTGAGGGAGACCAGCTTTTCTTCCTCGATCAAACCCTGGTTTAATTCTCATTATTATTAATCAAATAATGACACTCTTTGATCACAAATTGTAAGAAAAATATAATTTAATTATGAAATATTTGCACTAAAAGTTAATAGCACTTTAATTATAATACTAATTCAAAGTAATTAGGTTCATCTTAGGATATAGTTTAATATATCAAGTTTTTATATCATTTATTTATTTAGATTATGTTTAATTTATGGTTAAAAAGTGTCATTGTGTGACCTAAAAAAATCGAAACATGAAGAGTTTTTAGGACAGGGGCAGTATATATTACGGAGTACCAAACACGCCTTCTATCCCATCAATAAACTTTAATCATAAATTGTTCCTAATTTGTATTGTATATTAATAAAATTAATTAAAATTTTGAAAGTTATCAACAAATAAAAAAACTAAGTTGTTTTTCTATAATCTCTATGTCTTGAAAAATTTTCCTTATTTTGTACTACCTCCGTCCCAAAAAGAATGGGACGGTTTGACTTTGTGGGAAATTAAGAGAAGGATATTTTGGTATTGAATTTCCAAAAATACTATTGATGTGATGGTAAAAGTAGGATGTGATGGGTAAATTATTAGAAAAAAGGTATGATGTGATAGGTAGGGTATGAAAAAGTAAGAGGTAAAAGTGGTTTTTTAATAGAAACGTAACGGACTTTACGGGACGCAGTTTTTTCTAAACGTAACAAATTTTTTGGGACGGAGGGAGTATTTTTTGTCAAACTGTGACACTAACTACAAGTTAAATACTTTGTTTAATTTAAATAAATATTATTATAAAATTTGATATATAAAAATTATATTTTAACATGAATCCAACTAAATTCAATTTACACATTCCTTCCATCCCGAATTAGGTTACATATTTACTATTCACGTGTCAATTTTATTTAGTTTTTTTTTTTAAATTTATGGCCAAAGAATATCATACTCGTATGAAAAAGTCAAACATGAAAGTTTTAAGACGAAAGTAAGACCATTTTGGAATTAACGTTTTCGATTAGCGTTAGTTTTTTGAATAAAATTTTAACGATGTAGATTAACTTTGAAAATGTTAATGCTAATGTTGTACGTAGATAATTTTTTCAAAATACTAACAATCTTCTAACGTTATTTCCAAACAGGCTTATAATAAAAATTTTTTAATGAAATCTAAATTCATCCAAATTTGACCAAAAAAAAGTTAAATGTAAGGAATACATCACTAATTTTGGTGCACACGTGACATGTACTACGTAATACAGTAATATGCAAACGTACAAACCTCGGAAACAAACTGGAGAAGGGCTTCAGTTAAGGGGTCCACTAGGTAAGGGGTCCCAGTGTGAAGAGGCGTGCCCCGGCCCAGAAGAACCAGAACCATCCGGCCGCCCGGTTTTAGCTCGTCGGCACGGTAACGTAGGAACGCCGTTAAGTCCTTCTCGTACTGCTTCACGTAAGCCTCAACCACTTCGGTCGGACTCGACTCGCCTATGTATATGTCCCTCGTGTTCATCTTCTCAATCCCTTCCGGAACCTATACAATATTATTTTTTTTAGCCAACAAACACTTTTTTACCTTTCAACCTTTTTTTAGTTACAATATTTTAAAGAATAATGCTATTTGTACACCAAGAATTTGTATCTCATTTTGTACACCGTTGGAATGCATCAACATTTTGTGTTAGTATAATGCTAATTTTTGTTAAGGAACCAACACTTTGTATCAGTGTAAATTTTTGTTAACACACCAACACTTTGTATCAGTGTGAACCATCAAAATGTTGGTGCATACCTTTGGTGTACAAATGAGGTACAAATTTTGGGGTACATGTAGCATGCTACTATTTTATAGTATACGCTTTTTACTTTTCAATATTTTTTTTAGATTAAGACGGAAAGAGTACAATAAGTACAAAAAAACCTGGGAGAGCCAATGAAGACTGTAGGAGGAATGAACAAAGTGGAGGGAATTGGAGGGGAAGAGTTTGTTGTAGAACGATCCGGCCACCGCAGCTACCGAACATTTGTGGTTTTTGTCCGGGCCAAGGGAATTCGGGATCGACCGAAAGATGGCATTGAAGTCGTTGTCCGGGAGATCGTTGAGGAAGGCTTGGAATTCCGGCAGGTCGGCATCCGGCGGGCAAGCCTCCCTCACGGCGTCCATCATGTTGATGGTCGGGAGCAGGGCGTTTGGCCCGGAGGAGCAACCCAAGTCCGCCATTCTAAAGCACTTGGGAATGCGGCGGCCGCCGCGGCACATGTTTTTTATTGTGTCTTGTAACATCGGTTTTCCCTTCTCTATCACTGTTTTCTGCATGCATCATGTAAGGGGGAATTTACTTAAATAGCGCTAAAAGAGTATGACTTTCCATAAATAATACTCCCTCCGTCTCGTGAAACATTTTCCCTTTCTTTTTTTATCCGTCCCACAAAACACTTCTTATTTCTATTAAAAAGTCACTTTTACTCCTTACTTTTTCATACCCTAACTATCAAATCCCCTCCAATTTCTAGGCATTACCTCTGGTGGGGAAAACAAAAAAATGCAGCGAAAATTACGGAGAAGACCAATAGATCCAAAAGGCAAGAATTCAATCATTTAGATTTGAAACGGCAGAGGTCATTAGAGAGCAAATGATTAGGGTTCTAAATATTTGATTTTTTTTCTGCGTCCTGTGCATACCTGTCCCCAAATTCAGTGTGTGGAGTCATTCAATTTTAATGGCGTCGAGAATGGAAGACGGTGAAGATCGTGAGTTTGTTGAACAGACCCAAATAGTCCAAAAATATGCTAGGAAACCTTTACACTAGTTCAAGGAATTTGGAAGGAAAAGAAAAGAAAATGGTTTTCTCTCATTTTACTCACCAAAATGGGAGGAATTTGGAAGGACACTGTAAAGGCCAATGGAGACACTAGTGGTTGCGATTATGCCACTCAGATGGACATTTACATTGAAAACAAGGACATTATAGTAGTATGCAGATGAATATAACATATAAGGACCGTATAGCAATCAAGAAAGGAAGACATTAATCTATAAATTAAATGTCAATGACGCTGTAAAGGCCAATAGAGACATTGGTGGATGCAATTATACCCGCGCAGATGGACATTAACATTGAAGACAAGGACATTATGGCGGTATGCAGATGAATCTAACATATAAGGACCGTATAGCAATCAAGAAAGGAGGACATTAATCTATAAATTAACTGTCAATGACGCTGTAAAGGCCAATGGAGACATTGGAGGATGCGATTATACCCGCGTGGACGGACATTAACATTGAAGACAAGGACATTGTGGTGGTATGCAGATGAATCTAACATACAAGGACCATATAACAATCAAGAAAGGAGGACATTAATCTATAAATAAAATGTGAAAGATGCTGTAAAGGCCAATGGAGACATTGGTGGATGTGTTTATACCCGCATAGATGGATATTAACATTGAAGACAAGGACATTATGGTGTTATGCAGATGAATATAATCTAACATACAAGCTAAGGACTATATAACAATCAAGAAAGGAGGACATTAATCTAAAAATATAATGTGAATGACGCTGTAAAGGCCAATGGAGAAATTTAAAATAACATAAAGATAATGACGATGCACACAATATGTAAGATAAAGACATTATGCTAAGAATATAGAAGTTATTATAGAAATATATCAAGAATATATGTATGCCTTATTTGGGAATATTGCAAGTACATGTTCTATCTCTAAAATTAACTACAAAAGATTTCTCATCATCGTCAATAACTTGAAATTTAAAGAAACCAGTTAGTGTAACTATTATGATTAAAATAAGGACAAATTGTAATACTCACACTATATGTGGTGTATAATGTCTACAATAGTTGATGGAAGGACAATGAAATAAGAAATGTTACTCTCTCTGTTCTAAAATTGACTTCCCAATTTGACTTTCTTAGCTTACCCATTTTTTTTGAATTTCGATCGTATATATTGGAAAAATTATATTGATTTCTCATATAAATTTAAAATTAATAGATTTATTTTGAAACATAGTTTTAAATTTTTTTTTATTTTTTAATATATATTTATATATAAATAAAAATATTAACGATTAATGTGTTGCATTAAAGACTGTGAAAAGTCAAATGAGAAATTAATTTTAAGACGAATAAAGTATTTAAGTTAAAATATAAAGGAGACCAACAAGGACTTACTAGAAGTTAATTATATCAAATTATTTATACTCTGTATGTACTAAGTTACTGTGGTCACCTTTTATTTTTAAAACTTTCGATTTCTTTTAGATGTATAATTTTATTTTTAAAAATTTTACTTCATTTTTCATACAAATTAAATTAAATATAAAAGTACACCATAATTGAAATTGGCATATTAAAGTAAAAACAAAATTTCTAAATAAAAAGGATAAAAACAGGGGAAGATGGGTGGATGAACTTGGAAAGAAGCAGAAGATAATGGAATTCTTTCATTCCCTAAAGTTTAGGAGTAATAAATGATTCATTAAATACTAATAAAGTAAAGAAAACTATAAGTGAAACCGCCATACTAAGATAAAAAAACGGGAGTAAGGGTAAAAATGGAACAGCCTCCAAAAAAAAGTCCTATTAATTGGAAAAAACTTAGTTGCTCCTATTTAGAGAAAACAAATCACTTTAAGTCCTAAATACAACAAATTTTACTAAGTGAAATGTGAAGAAGAAAAGATTTTGGGGTCAAAGAGAGTATATATAATAATGTCATCATTTATTTCATAGAGCTTTTGATGTTGCTTTTAAATATATAAATTTTACTTTTTTTTATTTCACCTCAATTGTCTTATAAATTAAATAAAAAATAATTTTAATCAAATATTGTAAACTAAACTAGGTAATATAAAACGGGGGGTAGAGAGTACATTTTAATTCTCAATTTTACATTAATATTCAATCAAATATAATTATAAACAAATTCAATCAAATATGGTTATGCTGTTATTCTTGCTTCATGCATATTATCAAGAAACCAACTCAACCAAAAACTCAAACTTGTGATTGTGGTTCAAAAATTGTTATTTATATTATAAAACGTCCTCTCACGTGCATGTGTAGTCTTTTTCGAGTTTTGCACGTAAAATTTTACTCCCTTCGTCCCATAAAGATGGTACGTTTTGACTAAAGTAGAAATTAAGGAAGGGATAATTTTGTGTTGACTTTCCAAAAATACCCTTGATGTGATGGGTAAAAGTATGATGTGATGTGTAGATTTTTAGGAAAAAAGTTTGATGTGATAGGTAGGGTTTAGAAAAGTAAGTGGTAAAAGTGGTTTTTTAATAGAAATGGATAAGGGATTGTGGGACGCAATTATTTTGAAACGTGTAAATCTTTTTGGGACGGAGGGAGTATTTTTTTTCAAAACTGAATGGCTCTGAATTTTGTACGTGTATCCTCTTAATTAATAAGGCTCTGATACCATGTCAAGAAACAAAGTTAAGCAAAAGTAGAATCTTGTGATTATGGTCCAGGAAATGTTATTTACTTTCTAACACATACACATGTGGGAAAGTATTAGATTACAATGTTTTTCTTGAATTTTTTTATCACAAATTAGAGCTTATGATTAATTTGATTTCTTGATGAGTCAAAAAAGAAAGAGGAGGTGCATATACACACACACACCCCATGCATATACAAATTTATATATACCTGAAGGGTAGAGTTATTGGCATAATGGCTCTTTGCATTAAAACTCATAGATAGAACCTTATCCGACCCCATTGCTAGCGGATCAATAATGAACAAATTTTAGCTTTAATTTTCTTTCGTGTATAATTTTTTTAAAAAAACTCAAGAATTACAATAATAAGTAATTTAATTACATGAAAAAGTATATAGTTACATTAGTTATATGCGTTGGTAGCTCCCTTTTCAACGCACCCAAAAACAAGGTGCATGTCTAATTTGTACAATGGTTTAGGTTTACTTTTCCTACGAGTGGATGTTATTTACTACGGATTCTTTAAATTTAATGAAATCAAAGTGTGGACTCTAATATTAAGGGCAATTGTTTAGCCATTAATCATCTCATACATAAATTAGCTATTCTTGTACGAGATTATGTTTCTCATTAATTTCTCATATGTTCTCTCTCGTCTCAAATTGGATTATAATTTTTTTAGAACCTACCCGTGATAATTACTTATACTCCGTACTTGTTTGTCCACTTTCATTGATTATTTGATAGAATACAATATTATTTTCGCATTAATTTTATTAATTATTCATACACTAATTTATAAATTAACTAATTTTGAAAACTGTAAAATTTTGTCTCGTACATGGGAGATCATTGTAATTCAGTTTGAGATGTCGGGAGTATAAACCCAATACAAGATATAGATTAGCGAATCCTAAAAGGATTAGTCATCGATCAAAATGATTTTAAAAAGAAATATCGAGTTGCTCACCAAGCAGCATTGAAGGCGAAATCAGAAAAAGTTACTTCCCCATTCCATAAAACCCTTTCCCTTTCGATTTTTTTCGATTCCCTAAAAACACTTCCACTTTCTATTAAAAACTATATCTACCTCTACTTTTTTCTACCCTACCTATCACATCATACTTTTTCACTAATAACAAAACTATCATATCTTATTTTTACCAATCACATCAAGAGCAAAATTGGAAAGCCAACCAAAATTACACTTTCCTTATTTTGGCCCAAAGTCAAAATGGGAGTTGTTTTAAGGAACAGAGGTAGTATTAAACATCAGAAAGCTTGTGACGAAGGGAGTACTTTGTGACGAAGGACATCCCTTGTCACAGATTATACATCATATATATACCACGATGTACTTAGAGAGTGCCATAGCTCTAGTAGAAAACTTGTCAATCCATTATCCATATATGTAGGCTGGAGGGGGTTAATTTGAACTTATAACTTAGTTCGTGATTGTTTTGCTGTATTTATAAGTTAAACCCACTTTTTTTTCTCCATTTTAACAAATTAAAATATTTGCAAAACTATTTCCAAACTTTTATAGATATCTCCAAATGAACGATTTCTAAGTTAAATACTACTCTTTTTGTCTTAAAATATTTTTCTTGTTTCAGTTTATGAAATTTAACTGAAGTTATTCTAGTTTATTTTATTTGATTATAAGTGTAAAATAAAAGTATATTTAAAAACTACATAAAAATTTTACAAAATAAGAAGTGATGTGATTATATTATTTTATCAAATAACTAATGAAAATAAGTGACAAAATGATTAAAGTTTGATCATTTAATAATAATTGAGAAAAAAGTTAAAAAATGGATGAAG